TCTCATATCCTGGTGAGGTCTTCTTTTAGATCCTCCCTGAGCTACACTATTAATAGCTACACTGATTCTACAAACGCGGGGGCAGGTCCAGAAAAGTGGGAGGAACGCAGTAATCGGTGGTTCCACACTCGTCCATTGGGTTACATCGGAGTGCCACCCGATGCTACCCGTATGTCGATCGGATTGAGGCACGTGATCAACTTACAGATTAACAGGTGATGAAACATGGGTCTACAACTAAGATCCCGAATCAAAACGTCAATCAATGGAATGACAAGATTCCATTTCTCCAACATCGAGGAAATTCAAAGATCAGTGAAGAATGTTTTGGCCACTGTTTTCTTGTATGCAAAGATTCTATCCCCCAAAAAGCAGCGAGGAATGCTTACTGCTGGAGTTTTACTACTTTATGACAATGTCTCTTCTCACACCTCTCGACTAGCAAAGCCTGCTGTGCGACAATGTGGGTTTATAGAGCCTCCTAACCCTCTGTACTCGCCAGACCTGGCACCAAGTGATTTCTACCTGTTTCTTAAACTGAAATAACACGTGCGTAAACGCTATTACGACAACGATGACCTCAAAGCTGCCGTGAATGGGTATTTTATGGAGGCTTCAAAAAACCTCTTCCTGACTGGAATTGAAAAGCTTTACTCTCGATATGAGAAATGTATTCAAAAGCAGGGAGATGATGTTAAAAAAATAAATTTAAAACACTTTCGCAATTGTTGGTTTTGTTTGCTAGGCTTAGAACCTTTTGACCAGCCCTCGTAGTACTCAGAAATACAGTGCCGGGCAAAAGAAAGTATACACTTGAAAATTTTGTTTGACCTAAATATTACGAACATTATCCAAACGTTACTTGGCTGAAAACAGTCTCCAAAAACACAACTATGACACCTGTATTAATACATCACCACCGACTAACATTTTTTTGGTCGGTTTCATTTTTTTACCACTATCAACATGTGTGTATACTTTCTTTTGCAGAGCAGTTTAGGATGATCCCGTTAAAATGGGCATGTTGTATTTCGTAAGCTCGATGGTGAGTAACCAATAACGTTATGTTTACAGAATTCAAGAATGGCTGACAGTGCGTATCCTTGGGTCATTATTCTGTCTGGGTTCATGATCAAGTTCCTGGGACCTAGTCTGGGCTACGTGGCAGGGGTGTACCACGTGGCGCTGATGGAGCGGTATGACGACGTGCAGGCCGTTGCATGGTTGGGATCCATTTATTCTTGCATGTTTAGTTTGACAGGTGAGACTAAACATCTTCATCTTTAACACAATCACATAAATAGTTACCTCCGTTCAGACCGACCATGGTGACACAAGGCTTAAACTGTTTGATTGCCATTCCATAAGTAAAAATGAAAACGTACAACTTGGACATCAACTTCTGGTTTATTGATTGTTTTTCTTACACTTTTACCAAGCAGGAGTTGACCCGTGAAGATCCGGGGTAGAATAGATCTTCCTCAAACCATGCTTGCTGTAAAAGGCGACTATGCTTGTCGTAAAAGGCGACTAACGGGATCGGGTGGTCATGCTCGCTGACTTGGTTGATGCATGTCATCGATCCCAATTGCATGGATGGATGCTCATGATATTAATCACTGGATTGTCTTGTCCAGACTCGATTATTTACAGACTGCTGTCATATAGCTGGAATATTGCTGAGTGCGGCGTTAAACAACAAACCAACCAACCAACCAAGCAGGAGTGACTACAACCAAGTGATGAGAGGTATATTATGTACATGGTAACGATGTAAAAATCTACATACAACGTCGCTGATGCAATAAACCAGACTTTATTATCCATAAAGTTGTGTGCTTTCTTAAGGTCTCATCTTCCCGTGGCAAGAGCATCGACTAGCCTTGCTTCCATCCTTGCTACATCAAGCCCACTTTTCTGTGCTAAATATGATTGGACTATCGCACATATCGATAGTCCAATCGGAGAACGTTTCACAAAATCAACATACACAACTGGTACACCTTCGTATGAAAGTGATTTGCCGCTGCCTGTCTCTGTTGACACGAATGTGTCTTTTCATCTTTTAAACCCCTTAACGATTGCCTATGTTATTGTGTCAGGGATGAAATCGCGAATGTAGTCGTTATCTGATCGACTAGGTCGTCGCGTATGGTAGTCGCCATCTTTTGTGAATCTCTACGAGATGAGAACAGCGATCTGATTGGATATCGCGTGTTCATTACAAGGGGCACAACTCGTGATCTACGCGAGGTGGCGCCAGGGTCAAACCAAGAAAAGTGGCCTTGATGTGACAAGGGTTAGAACTTGACTTTGATATTGGCTGGAGGACACGCTTCCCTTGGGAAGATATTAAGGTCTATACAGCTGGTCACGTGAAGTCTGAAGTCCGACGATGACCGACAGCGATTATCTAAAGAAAGAGTTGTAAATGATGAAGCGTAAATGGAATGTAAATGCAACGTTCAAAGTAATACGGTTGTTGGTTGGTTTGTTGTTTAACGCCGCACTCAGCAATATTCAAGCTATATGGCGGCGGTCTGTAAATAATCGAGTGTGCACCAGACAATCCAGTGATTGATATCATGAGCATCGATCCAAGCAATTGTCGGCGAGCCTGACCACCCGATCCCGTTAATCGCCTTTTACGACAAGAATAGTCGTCTTTTACCGCAAGCATGGGTTGCTGAAGACCTATTATACCCCGGAATCTTTACGGGTTCAAAGTAATGCGGACTGCAATGCATTCAGTCTGGGATTTTCTGTTTGAGACCATATATATTTTTTCCCTCACCGTTTCAACGCAAGTCTCAATTCTCTATCAGGCGCCATAATGTTCAGAATACCGAGCATGTCCAGTAAACAACTTGTACAGTGCAAATCCTGAGGAGAAAATAGTTTTACCTGCAGTTTCGTGGTTAGAATATTTCCTCAGTAGTGTGTAGGTGAGGTGAAATGGGGTTTAACGTCGCGTCCAAAATTATTGCACTTATATAGCGACGTGCATGCACGTGTATGTGTATGTGTATGTGTGGCTGCATGCTTGTACTAGACCGACTGATGCCGATTTATAGTGCTAGCACACTGGGATACCATGCCACAGTTTAACATGAATACCCCACTCAGACGCAGTATACTGACTCCGAGCCGACCAGTCCTTGTTTTAGCCCCTTAATGCCGAGCGCCAGACAGGGTAACAACAAGTACCATCGTTTAACGACTTTTGGTATGACACGGCTGGGGATCAAACCCGGGCGGACGCTCTACCATTAGACCACGGAGGCGGTCAGTAGTGTGCAAGTGATTGAGGGGCCCAACAGAGCTTTGAACAAATTAAATATTTAAAAATCCACAAAGAGTGCACATACCCTTTCATTAAGTCAGTCCATCTCTACCAATGTATATCTATGAAACTCATGATTGACTTTTATCCCCCAGGTCCGCTAGCCAGCCTCGTTATCAACTCCTATGACTGCAGGACCTGCGTGCTACTGTCAGGGCTGCTGGGACTGCTGGGATTTGGCGCCAGCTTTTTCATCCACGACATCAAGCTGCTGTTTATTTCATACGCACTTGTTGCAGGTATGTAGCAAATGTTTACTCAACATGACATGTGTAAATATATGTATCACTTATAAATACACCAAGTATCTTTCCTGATACGTACAGTTTGTGTCACATTTATTGACCATACATGGGAAGGGAGATACGGGTTAGTATTTTTCCTTTAACATCCCTTGAGAGAGCTATAGCAGTCGCTTAATGCTGATTGGCTGTTTTGGGCATCGTTTAACTTCATTGGTTAATGACGCATAGCCGGAACTACTTTTTCCCATTCATCATGTTCATTAACAAATTTCTGTCATACGAGACTTTTACGATTTTTATTAATCCAAAAAAAATATCGTTCACAAACTTTTTTGACGATACTGGACTACACAAAACATTAGTGAGTGAGTGGGTTTGGTTTAACGCCGCTTTGAATTGCATCTGAAATCTAAATAACATATAGGAAAATATATGCGACCAATTACGCAACGAGTTGACAGTTGTTTTAGGAATGCCCGTTTGCGCTAAGGCGGAACCTGTTCGCAAAAATGGCCATGAGAGGGGCACG